GTCCGTGTACAATTATGATCTAGTATACCCTAAAACCCTAGTCCAATTAGTCAGGCCCCTACGTTGTGCTGCTGAGGCCGCAAAGCCTGCGCGAGTGCCGTGCTCGTTGATTAGGAACCCAAGAAGGACATAAGCATAAGCATTTTATGGGGATATTACTACCTCTCTGGGCTTCAATATAAGGTGGTTTATATGGGATATCCCTAGCCTAATTTTTGCTTATGTGCTTTTTTGGGGCCCTAGTTGAAACCTTCAGATGGCCCGAAGTGGCTTCGGCAGGCGATTTCGGCTCTTCGGGGGGCACCGGTGAAAGGCAAAAGCGCTGACTAGGTCTACTTAGAAATATCATGCCCTAGAGCTCCTTATTATAATCTGTGCTATGACATAATCAGCCCCAAGAAGAGTCTGGAAATCGGTAATGTAGACCCCTGCAAATATTTGAACGCTAATCCCGTGTAGAAGGTGGAGGTTTATTTATCCGGGGATCCGTATTCTAATCCCCTTTTGCGGCAGGGTGTTTTTGCCCAAGCAACAAAGCTAGGTGCGGGTGTCGCCCAGGAGCGAACTTTGGCAACATGCTCATGGCGAAAAGACTAGCAGCAACAACCTCTCACACACCAGCTGCACACATCATACAACCCTGAAGCTCTAAGCCCGTACCATAGATCGTAAGCTCTTACCCTTACCCAACAACCCTACACCCTTAAACCCTGCAGCCCGAAGCCCTACAGTCTCATCCTTATACTTCTTCCATGCCGCGGATCCCGCGTGCACCGCTGCCTATGGTGCCACTTCCTGAGCGAGCTGCCGGAGTGGTAGCGAAGCTCATTCACCAGGCTGGGGGCTGTTTTTTTTGTGTTAGGGCTTAGGGTGAAAATGATGGTTTGCGGTATTCTCGGTTGCGTGTTGGGATTGGCAGGGTTAAGGGCTTCTGGATCTTGAAGCATGGGGCTTAAGATTTTGTGGCTGCAGGGGGCATTGTAGGTCTGGATGTAGACTCTGTCGACGTCGAGCATAGCGAAACCCCAGAGATCGAACCCCGAAGCAGTCGGGTTTTCGAAGTCTTTTGGTGAATGAAAGCTACGAGCATGATGAATTGAACTTGTTGGACACTGGGCCAGAGGTATGTGGTGTTAGGGTGGAAGGAGAGACCTGGCATCAACAGTGTAATTAATGGTGACCCAACCATAAGATGCGAGAGAAGTATGGCCCCCGACGACCGCCAAGTGTTGACGTTGTGATTAGTGTGTTCAACCCAGGGCATGCGAAAGGCTCGGAAACGCAGCATTTCGTACGATTTGGCTGCATTCCGAAGCATATGCCTGAAGTTGTTTGCAACTGCAACATGATTTTGCAGATGGGGCACGTGCCAGCATGGCCCAACGGCCGTACACACTTAGACATGCCAAATCATGCAGGCGCAGTGTCCTTGGGCGTCACGACGTACCGGGGTTTCACAGAGTGACCGTTTGAGCCGATCGATATACCGGTATACTTTTGCTTGGAGAAAGTCCTAGGTTGTCAGTGGTAATTATTATCGATGTACATGCAGAGACGATCTTCTTATCCCTCAGTATACATATGTATGTATGTATGTATGTATGTATGTATGTATGTATGTCGGCTGCATAGTTTGCATCCTTGAATTTCAAGGACACTTGTACATACATGTAACTGCATCGGCGTTTAGCTGAGGGCCCATATATGAGTAGTACTATTCTTACAGTTCCGGACAAAACATAGTATCATATACCCCCAAGCCCTATTCTTACTATTGAGGCCCCTATGCTACATGCTACTTCCTCGTCATGGGTCCTCTCCTTTCTCTGTCTGCGAAAGGTCAAAGCTCTGAGGCACGGACTGCATGTACGGCTCCACGCTTCACTGTATATGGGTACTACGGTTCAGGAAGTCGCTGCAGACCGGATGCAAAAGGGAAGTTTGGGGTTTAGGTTTTAGGTTCCTTGTGTGGCATCGATAGGTGTTTTGTGAGTGTGCAAGGTTCAGGGTAGTAGCCAAAATCGAGGGCTAGAAGCAGCCCGTCTCGTCGAACGAGGTGCCTTGAGTGGCTGCGAGATGAAGGTGTTCGGTAGACCCAAAACCCAGATGTGGTTTCCGGGGTTAGATTTTTTCGTATTTGCTGTAGGTCCACAGTTTCAGCTGCTGTCACAGGTTCGGAGTCTAGATGCAGGTGAGCTTCGGGCCTTGTCTGTGGAGTTTTCAAGTTCTAGAGGATAGACAAACGCAATGACAACACAGAAGGACTGCAAAGCTGAGCATCACTTGTCGCTATGTGGGTGTAGTGGCGCGACGCAGGGTTCCTACATTCGAGCAGTGTAGCTTTGCATAGACCGGGTTTTGCGCATCGCTCTCAGCAGGCACGCAGCTCTTTTAGCAAGGTATGGGAGTTGGTCGTCGTTGATCTCCTGCCTAACCAACTGGATACTCGTACCCTGAACCCTCAATTCAAAAACAAAAGTCTGGAATCGTAGCAGTTCAGTGCGGGGCTGTGGCCGCTGTTCGACGATTTTAAGATTTTTCAGACCTGAGTTTCTTTGCTTCATATTTAACTGGTTTAGGGTTTAAGGTTTCCCAGCTGATCAGCAGAGTCTGGGTTCAACAAAGGGTGCAGGTTTTAGATTTGGAGGGTCTGTTGCCTTACCGTTTGGTGTTTATCAGGAGTCATTGGTGCGCTGGTCGGTATTTGTTTCTTCTTTTGATCATAGGCTCCTGCAGGCCTGCAACGGAGGTCTCTCAAAAGGAGCACTAAGAGTCTGAGATTTAGCCCCAGACACCCCGAACCCGAGACACCTCAGAGAATCTCAACCCTCAACCCTAAACCCTAAACCCTATACCCTAAACCCTAAATCTAGACTTACTGGCAGGCTAGCGGCGGCGAAGTTGGCCCCTGCTTCATCCACGGACTCCACATCCTTTGGGTCGCCTGTCGGTCTGAATAAGTAAAACAGGATTCATATCCTTTTATGGGCTGCATACGTGCACATACATGTACATACATACATACATACATACATACATACATACATACATACATACATACAGACATACATGCAGCATACACACACACACACATATATATATATATGTATATATGTACATTTCATATACACACGCTTATGTATGCATATTGTTTGGTTAGCCCTTCTTTCAAGATTTACTCCATTGTGTACCCCAGAAGCCTACTAAGTGAGGAGTTCGGGGTTAGTGTAGGTCTGGTTCAGGGTTAGGTTTTTCAAATTCAAGGGCCTGGGATTATTGAAGGAGCATGGCTCCTGTGTGAAACAGAAGCGACAGAGAGGAATGGCCCAGTGGGAGAGGGGACCTATGGGGCTTAGGTTCTAAGTATGTTGTGCAACCATGGGTGCAAGGTTTGTGGGTTCTTCGGATCTGCTGGCTTGGTCTGCACTTATCGCTGTCAAGTTTGACGACCGAGGCTTCAGTGTCTCATGAGCCCAAGCGCTGCTGGCCCGTGGAGATTTCGCACGCAAGCCTTCGGAGATGCAGCTTGTTATGCATGTGGCTGCCATGAAGGATTACTTCTCCTGCTCATGCCCCTCTTCCCGCGCACAACCTAGGACCTGAAACCGTGTTCGTTCATAGAAACCCTAAACCGGGACGTCTCCTTGCCATGCCTGCGGAGTGCGAGTGTGTGTGTGTGTGTCTCGAAACTAAGCCCCTGTAATATAGGGGCCTAAATAATTACCTATACTATTTTTGGGGGTTTCTTATTATGATTATAGTATAAAGGAGAGAAAACCTTTTTCTAATTATTAAGCTATATCATAGAACCCTCCTAGTAACCCTTACAGAGCCCGTTTAAGAAATCCTACCCCAAAACTTTAGTCTATTTATGAAGACTCCTGTAGTAGAAGTGTTTCGGACCCTGCAAGCGCGGAGGCTGGAGGAGTTGGTGTGCGAGGTGAAAACTTCGGAGGTAGAGTCTATAATTATTACTATGATTATTACTACTTTTAGTACTACCATTATTACTACTATTACTACCATTATTAGTATTATCATTATCATTACTATTATTACTATTATTGTTACTAGTATTGTTACTATTACTATTACTACTGTTATTACTACTACTACTACTACTACTACTACTACTACTAGTACTAGTACTAGTACTAGTACTACTGAACCCCGAAGCCTTTTTTGAGGAGGGGCTGCAGCGCACATGCCCTTATGCCCTTATGCCTGCCTCACTCCGAGCCCTCCTCCAAACTCTGCGCTTTGCGCATCCGAGGCTCAGGCACAACTTGGAAAGTACACACTTTACAGCGTTTAGCTTATAATTTGCTTGCTATGTCATCCAACTGGGTTTCGACCAGGGGAATGCAACATCCTCGAGCGCGAACTGGAATGACAGCCAAGAACCAATCATTATCGATCTCGCCACCATGTTGTCGACGACCCCAACTAATCCCAGCAAGGAACTAGTTTGAGAGTACGATTGAAATCCATGAGAACCCCTAAACCCCAAACCCTTAGACCCCAAACCCTCAACCGAGGGATTCTGCCTGCTTCTGCTGACGTAAAAGGCGTTTAAAACAACAAAAGCACTTAAACCCAGGGCCCGAAACTCGGCAGCCCTATGCCAGCGAAGCCCATGCTCACGAAGTGCAAAGCTGAAGCCTGACTCCGTCAAAGCCCGGACCTCGGACCTGAATTTGTACCCCTTGAGGGTTTAGGTTCAACAGAAACTTCTTTGGATAGTTGTACTACTACCCGGGCATGGTTATCCCCAAACCCTGTTCTAGCTATCTAGGCCGGATTTCGGTATGTTCCTCTGGCGGATTGAAGTGAAGCTCACGCACGAAGGTTCTAGCTTAAGCCGCCGAAGACGTTTAATATCTATGTGCAGGCGCATGTCCAAAAGCCAGGCATCACTGAAGTCAGCTAGGGCTGAGAGCAGGTATGGTACTCCTATAGTTTTGGGTTTAGGGCCTCTAGACTTCGTTCTCCACCCTGAGGTCGATCTGCTGGCGGGCGTCCGCGATCGTCACGGCCGACCGCTGCTGGGCAGCCCAGATGAGGGCAAGGACCAAGAAACCCCAAAATCTTTTTTAACTCGAGAAGATCCCGGTACCTTCAGATCGTTGATGAGCAACCCACTAAGTATAGCGGGGATCGTTGGTCGGCAACCCTGAATCACCCAACCTACACCCGATGCCGTCGAAGCTTTGGAGCTTAGGGCTGAGAGATAAAGTGTGAATTGGAGGTCACCTCAGCATGCAATGGTATCTGTAAGTTGGGTTGCAGCTACTTCGGTTAGGAAATAACACGCCTTTTGAGTAGCCGAATTCGGGTCTTATGGCTGCTGTATTTCAAAGTCGAGCCTCAGGTTGGCTGAGGGGTCCTTGTACCCTGACACCTGAACATCATGGGTACAGAGATGATGGGCAAGAAAGGCTCCCGAAACCCCAGTTCGAAGGCCGAAGCAGTGGGGCTCTGAAGCCTAAAGGCCCCACATCGACACGCTGGAAGAGCCTAGGCACCGGCTATCTCCAAGCCCAACTAAGAAGGAAGCTGGTCATGCCCCCTGCTTGGTTGAGGTTGGTGGTTTAAGCTTTAGGATTTCGCCCAGGTGTGTCGAGGGGGTCTTGTGGGCTTAGTTTTGGGGTGCAGAGCTTAGGGCTTAGGAAAATCCGACTCATCCGGGAGCCGAGCTCTGGAACTCAGAAGAAAGATGCCAAGCTGTCTGTTGTAGGGTATGGAGGTTCTAGGGTGTAGAGTTTAGGGTTCGGGATTTTGCATTTACGGCTTGGATTTACACGCTTCCTGTCCAGAGCAAGGCAAAAACCAACCCCCAGTCTCGCCGCCGACACGTCTCAAACCCTGAAGTCGAAACCCTACAGTGAATCCAGGGTTCGAGCCCACTGTTATATATATATATGAATATAAATATATATATATATATATATATAAATAAATAAATAAATATATATATATATATATAGATATAGATATAGATATGTACACACACACACACACACACGCATAGACACCTTAAGCCTCTACTGCCGAACCCCCCAGCCCCAATTCCTACTTCCTACAATTTTGAAGGAGCCCGGTGCGCCACGGAGCCTTCCAGGTTGCAGCGCTCAGCCACCCGGGCTCTCAAACGGTCATCGTTCAGGGCTTCGGCTATACCGGCCGCCACAGCCTGAATTTGAAGCTTTCCGGCTCTCTGGAAGGTTGGCCTAGGCTGGGTCTAAATAAGGGGTAGGAGTATGATCCCCTTATCGTCGGCTGGGTATGCATAATGAGTAGGACTGTCATCCTTTCTGGTTCCAGCGGCAAATGCTTCCCCTCGTCCGCCTCGGCCTGGCCGCGAGTGAAGAAGGCCTAATATAGGGGCCTCAACAATCATCAATACTATTGTGGGGTGCCTTATTATGATTTTATGGCATAATATATTCAAAACCCTTCTCTAATCATTGAGGCCGCTACAATACGGGTTTCCAGAGTGTTGTCTCGCTAACACCGTCTTGAAACACGGACCTGCCACCGGAGACTCCCTGGCTTACACTCAGCACAGGCATCTTTATCCTTAGTAGATATCAGTAGTATTAGTACCAAGCGCTCCTTGTTATAATTATAGTTTCATATATATCCCAAGAGTCCGTTTAAACTCCTGAGGCCTCTAAAATATTCATGGCAAATCATGCACGCGCAGAGGACAAACTCGACGACCTACATGGACATGTCAATTCCCGAACACACCTTAGACACTTCCCCCAACTCAGGGCCTAGTCCTAGAACTCACGACCCATGAACCCCTAGCCCAATCCCCAAACCCGAGTGCACACGAACCCCAAACATTTTTTTCGGAAGCCGAAGGAGAAGCATTCAGAAAATAGACGGATCCGGAATACAAGGACCTGGCGATACTGGACGTACGGGAGCCCCAATTTCCAGAATCCTCCTGCTCGTCGACCTCTGAAGCCTTAAAGCACGATACACCTGGGTTTGGGGCTTTAGGGTTTGGTTAGGGCTTAAGAACCCCGAAAATAAACCCTAAACCCTAAACCCTAAACCCTAAACCCTAAACCCTACCCATCCCTGCGAGCTGACTGTGTCGAAACCCTGCAAGAAGCCCCAGTAGGCTCAAGGCTCTCCTGCGCCGCGTGGCGCTGGAAATGCACCGCCTCCTGCAGACCAGTGCAGGCGAATCCGGGTTTAGGGTTTAGGGTTTAGGATGATGTAGCATTTGAAGGTACTTAGTTCCCCAATTCCCAACCTTTAAACTTTTGTCGTTCTTATAATTTAGTAGTAATCTGAAAGTTTAACCTCTTATTTCCCTGGCTTCTTAGGGAAGTAAGGGTGAGGGTTTGACTTGCAGGGTTTCAAGTCTAAAGTTAGGTTAAGGGTGTAGGTTCGCCGGGTTCTTGTTGAGGATTTTCATCTAAGTTATCATAAAAGGTGTCTATGGTGAATAATGTGGTTTCCTTGTTTCCTTCTTATGGTAACTTAACTTGAGTTCCTTAACAAGAGCCCCTATGAAGGGTTCACGGTGAGGTCTGGGGACTAATGTAATAAACAGTTTCTGGATTAGGTTTCAGGCTTAGGGGCTTTGGGTTTCAGGGGGAGGTGTTTGAGTTTGCAGGGGTTCCCCCCGTCTGGTAATGTTCGACGTTACGATTGCAAGGTAAGCGCTCCAAGCTTATGATTCTGACGCGGGCACAGTGTCATGTGGTTGGGTCTGAGAGGTGGGCGGCTGCACGGAGACTGGTCCCACGAACTGCTCCTGAACTTCTACACTTGCCGGGGCCTGCCTCTGCTCTATGAGCACAAGGACACCCCAGCACAAAGCGAAGCTTTTTGGGAAGTCTTGCGTGGCGTATAGTATAACATCCTCATGGCGACGGCTACGACGACGACGACGACGACGACGACGACAGCTGCTACTACTACGACGACCACCACCACCACGACGACGACGACGACGACTACTACTACGACGACTAGTACTAGGAAGAGTAGAAACATCACATTTGAATGTTCGTATCTTTTCCGTACATGTGTATATGTGCACGCAATTGCACGCAAATTTCATTGCCGTCTTATGCATGCCTGCATGCTTGTATGTATGCATGTGAACATGCATGTATCTATCTATCTGCCTATCTATCTACTACCTATCTGTCTAGCTATCTGTCTGTTTGTCTATCTGTCTATCTGTCTGTTTGTCTATCTGTCTATCTGTCTATCTATCTATCTATCCATCTATCTATGTATCTGCGTATGCATGCGTGCAGGTATGCATGCAATCATGCGGGCATGTATGCATGCATGATCATGCGAGCATGGATGGATGTATGTATGTATGTATGTATGTATGTATGCATGTGTATGTATGTATGCATGTATGTGTATGTGCATGTGTTTCTGAAGGTGTATGTCGATGTATTTGTTTGATTTGTATGTACTTGTATACAAAACATATATACCTGCTGCCTGCCTCGTCTGCTTGTTATTAGCCGCAGTACGATAACCGGGCTTTGCAGGGTCGTCGGATAAGGGCTTAGGATTTACGGGCGTGGCCGTTTTAGGTGTTTTCAAGAGGGTTTGTTTCGGAGAGGTTAATTTAGGTTTGGGGGGCAGAGCTAAGTTCAGGGGAGGCGTGGGTTCTTTTTTCTTGCTTTGGACCTTAGGATTGAGGATTGTTAGGGTTGTTGGGGTTTGTTGGCTGTTGCGATGCCCGAATCTCAAAGCAAAAGCCCGAAGCCCCACGAAGCAAAACGTAACCTGAATTTCCCGCAAGCTACCAATCCTTGAGCTGCACGACACACCCATTCAAGTCGATCGCCTGTGAGCCCGGAGCCCCAGAATTTATGACCGCACTCTTCTGCCACCTCAGAATAAAGAGCGAATAACCGGGTTCTACAGAAATAACCAATAATAAGAGGTCGCCCACGGTGCCAGGTATATATATATATATATATATATTTATATTTACTTAATCATATACACATACATGCATGCTTGCAGATGCAAAAGTAGGCGCAGTATCTATACATACACACACAGACACACGCACACAGACGCACATATATATATATATATATATATATTGATGCATACACATTTGTTTTTACACACACAGCAACAGTAGTAACCGAGACCCCATTGCCCAGTTGACGCTTCCATTCATCGAATGAGATACAAAAGTGTCAATGATTTTTTCTACACCAGACATATGTGTGTGTGTGTTCAGAAACGAACAGTGTCTGCCCGCTGCTTGCAGAGGGTTGGCCCTTGCTTGTCCGTGGACTTCGTCTGATTCCTTCTACAACACATAGAGACACATATCTCTCTCTCTATATATATATATACACATACATTCATACAGGTACGTACACACACGCACATATTCGCATAGACACAGATAAACATGCGTTTACACTCTTACGTGCACACATACACACACAAACGCACATACATACATACATACATACATACATACATACATACATGCATACGCACGAAGAGACGGACGGACGGACAGACAGACAGCCATGCATGCATGCATGTATGCGGACATGCATGCGGACATGCAGGCGTACATGCATGCATGTATACATACCCACATAATATATACATGCATAGATACTAACACCTACATAAGGGCACACATACACACACGCATGAAAACGTGCATGCATACACGCACATATGCACACATGCAGACATGCAAACATGCGTACATGCGAACAGACAAACCGACAAAGATATGAGCATACATGGAAGCAAGCATACATGCGCATATATATATATATATAGACATCTCATGCATGCGAACATAATAACATGCATGCAAGCATGCGTGCGACGGACATGCTTTCGCACTTGCGTTTGCAAGTTACACGTGGGCGGCATTGCAGCGACTGCGGCTAACAGAAAGCTATTTTGACAAGCTTGGTAGTGAGGCTCCTTGTTTCTCTTAAACCCTCAAAGACGACCCGAGTCCCCAAATCCTCGCAAGACACCTGGTCCCCACACCTTCGAAGCAAATCCCACCCTAAACCCCGATCCTTAAATCCCTAAAGCAACTCATTGTGTCACGCCGACTTCTGCACCTACGAACCCTGGCCTGGCCGGTCCGAGTTGTGAGAGAGTAAATCCCTAAAGCAAGGACCTCGCCTGGCTTGTCCGAGTTGTGAGAGTGTAATAAAGCGAGGACCTCTCTGCTCTCACTTTGCTGCTGATCCCTGCTACCGGCGGCAGTCGGCTCCTGGTCCGTCGGGCGGATGCCCCCTTGCGATACTCAAAGGGTCATCGGGAAGGGGTCATGGGACTTTGTAAATGGGGATTTGAATAAGATAACTAAAGTCATAGCTGTGTTTGGGTACCTTTGACTACCAAGTCCCCTGATCCTTCGAGGAGGCCCCTAGGTTATCGGGTTTGGGGCAGTCGCGCCATGCCATCTTCAGAACGGTATCTTTGCACAGCACTGGTTTCCGCTTCTTGCGCAACCCTTGCGTGGTTCAAAGATTGTCGCAGGCTTCCTTACGAATCCCTGGCATGCCTGGATGAAAACAGGTGTTCGTAGGAGGTCTCGTGGTGATCAGTCGTATTCCCAATGAGGTCATCCCTAGTCATACCTGGCTGTGCCTGCTGTGGGTACCGACATCCTAAAGCTCTACAGCCCTAATTCCGAAGCCGGAAAATCCGATTAAAAACCCGAAACCCTAAAACCCGTCAACCCTGCCCTCAAAACCTTGCTTAAACCCCAAACCCACACTCCTTACATGAAGGCCTCAGGCCGTGAACCTCCGAGGATGTCTTGGTGCCATTGTCGGCTTCTTCTTGGCGCAGGAAGACGAGGTGGCTGGCAGGGTGCCATTGCTTCCTGTGGTGAGTTATTTTAAAAGCTTTTCAAGGCTTCCAAAAGTGGTACAACGGTTTTGTCAGGGGTTCTAGTGTTTGGGTTTAGGGTGCTTGTTTGTGTGAGGGACCAATATAGAAAGATCTTTCATTTCTAACGAGAAGGATGTGTTGAACTTACTACTGAACTAGTACGCCTCCTTCGCATGAAGAGGTTGGGGGCTTTAACTTGTTGGAGTGCAGCGTTTCGAGGGTTTGAGTTTAGAGTTTGGGGCTTTAGGGGTTTTGGCCTGAGGTTCGCGGTTGTCGGATGTCCGTTCAGGGTTAATTACTACAGATTGAGGGTTCAACTGGCGGCCACACCCAATTCTGTTCCGTTTACGGTCTAGAATTTTGGCCTGAATGGTGTTTCTGGGTTGAGGGTTTAGGGCTTTTGTCGAAACTTGTGACGTCTCGGAAACCTTTTTTCAATCCTAAGGTCTGTAGCATCTTGATACATTACTGCTCAATTTCAAATCTAAAGTTTATGTTGTTTCATGTGTACATACGCAGACACGCACACAAACCCTAAATCCCAAACCTTATTAAACTTAATCCCTAGACCCTAAACCCTAAATCCTAAACCTTATGAACCCTAAACCCTATAGACCCTAAATTCCAAACCTTATAAACCCTAAACCCTAAACGGGTTAAGTACGTACTCTAATTGGGGTTATAAGAATAGTTACCTTGTTTATAACCTCAGTTGCTACGTCCCATGATCCTTTCAGTACATCCTAAAACTCCTGGTGCAAAGGGTTCCTAGAGCTCGGCTTCCAGAGGTCGACCCAGCGAGAAGCGGCGGCTCCGCTGCACTCCGCAACATCTGCGATGATTAGGACTTCGGGTTTAGGGTTTAGGGCTTTGAGTTTAGGGTCTGGGTGTAGGGTTTCGGGTTAGGGTTTAGGTTAGGGTTTATAGGGTTTATAGGGTTTAGGGTTAGTGCCTTAAGACGGGGTAAGGGTTGCATGGGCCGGCACCTCAGTCCGTGCTGAAAAGGGTTAGAGTTTAGGGTTAGGGTTCAGGGTTTGGGGTTTAGAGAGTTCCTTGATCTGAATACACAAAGGGGCACATCTTCAAGGGGTTCCTGGGTCGTTAACGGCTTATTTCCGCTATGATCCCTAAACCCCCTTTGTCAAACACCAAAACGTGTAATGCACCCTGTCTAATCCGCACCTCTCCATTGCAGGGTATACGATTTGAGGGTTCATATGGCTGTTTAGGGTTTGGGGGCCTACACTAAACCCTAAACCTAAACTAAACCGTACACTTGGGCTTTGTGGCTCAGGGCTTTGGAGTTGCCTTGAGTGGAGCGCTCCAGAAAACCCCACCATCCTCTTCCCGGGCGTTGTGGATGTAGGCATGAACCCGAGCTCTTTGTCAAACATGGTAAGTCAGGTTTAGGGTTTAGAGACCCTAAACCAGCTGATGGTCAGAGCCTGGGTTCAAAAGGGACCCTAGACCCTAAACCCTGAGCCCTAAATTTATGGCAATCATCCGAGACCACCAAAAGATTACGACGAAGAAGCTCGGAGCCCCAGACAAATAACCCTCATATTCGCGAATAGAGGAGCCCTGTAACAAAGCCCCCATGCAGCAATCTGCATCCCATGGATAAAATCCTCCTGTCACCAGCAAAGCTCTAAGCCCCAACACCCTTAAACCGCAAATAAAGTTGAAATAAAACCTACAAGCCTTTCCCTTTAAGCCCCAAGCCCGAAACCTTTCAGGGCCCCTCCGGCGCTCTCCTGGCGGGCACCCGCTTCTCCGAAGCGCTGCCAGCGGCGCGGAGGCGGCGGCCGACGCCACATCAAGTGCCTTGGTTAAGTTTGGGCTTGGGGGGTGAGCGATTGGATGTTTGCTTTCTAGGTCCGTCAGAAAGCCCAGCGCAGAGCTTGTGCAGCGTGGCCCGCGACCTTGCCCTGGATCAGAGCCAGGTTTTAAGAACGAGTTGTATGTTGGAAGAGCCTGGGTGAATCACCTGAGGAAACAGTTTTCGTATGGTGGCGGGTGGTTGCGCAGGGTGTCGGTTTTTGGCTGCTGCAATTGTACACTCCTGGTGAGCGTTTTACTGCTTAGGTTTCTCATGCAGATCCTAGACCTCCCGGCTCCACCCCCCCTCAGAATCCAAGAGCGTGAAACCAAGGTAAAGGGCGGTGTTGGGCCGCCACCGCGGCAGCCGCGCTTGAGCCTGGCGTTTTTCTATTGCCGGGAGCGGACAGAGCTTCAAAAGGAACGCCTGCAAGTAGACACTCACCTTTGAGCAGGCAAAACACGAGAATCGTGCGTTCGGGGTATAACGGTAGAACGTGTCGAGCGGAGGCGATAGCCGGATAGCTAACAAAGGCCATACGAAATGGTCTCGACTATCCTACAGCCGCCTGTTCGCCCGAATCCGGTTTGAATGAAGAACATGACTTCTTACTAGCACTTCGGCAGTTCACCTCCGTACCATCACAGCCCAGGCTACTGAGACCAGGTTAGTGGACGATTCCTTATCGCTCACGGGAGCGGAACGACAACTGACATCGTCAGGAGCACATCCGGCATCCATTAAGCAGCAGTTCATCTTCCAAGATCTCACGGGGTGCCAGTACAGCAAGTAATGGCATCAAGACTGAACTTTACAACAGGACATTGAATGATTTTGTTGTTTATCGTGGATGGTTTCTCACCCCTAACGGCAGAATTAGCAGACGATGCCGTGAAGGTCAGCGCAACCCTTCAACTGATGCCCCTGCTGTAGACACTTTCGGTGGGAATTGTTGCCTTTAGTTTCAGCCTGAAGAACTAACAAATACTTAGTGGTGTGACGGGTTGCACAAGATGCCTTCGGCCAGTCGATTTGGTAAATTGGTCTGTGAGGCAGTAGCCATACCCCCAAGAAAAAGTCCGAAGAGTGAGATAGGAGATAGGCCAGATAGGGGTTGGAAGGTGGAATATACATTTTATTACAAATAGATGACTGGCACGCAGAGCCCAGCTGTAAAAAGTCAGTCTATTCTTGACAACTCCTTTGTACAACAACAGTGCATACACCCCGAAACCTGTCCAACATTGGTAGCGCTCCTGTCTTCCAAAGTTCTGCGGCCATTGAGTTCTCATCGCGCCGCCTGTGCCGTTTCCGAAGTTGGTCCTCTGCTTTCTCTTAGAAAGACATGGGCAGTGGAGCCAGCACTCATTTGCCCGAGTTGCAGACAGCCTCGGGGGAGGACCTCAAGCAGCTCTACACGGAGCTTTCGGAGGAGGCCAAGGCGAATGTGAAGAAAGCGCTTGAGGCGGCGTCTAAGAAGGCCAAAATTTTGATCGTGACCACCTCTGCCTCCAAAATGGGCGACCACGAAACGGGCGCATGGAGTGAAGAGATTACCGGGCCATACTACACCTTTGTCGACAAGGGCTTCGAGGTGACCGTGTGCTCGATCGCCGGTGGCGACATCCCCATCGACGCCGGCTCCTTGAGTGACCAGTTCAAGACCGAGAACGATAAGAGGATGATCGAGCAGGGCAGCACAGCACTCAAGGCCACGAAGAAGATGTCCGACATGGACCCGGTAGCTTTCGACGCTTGCTTCTTCGCTGGGGGCCACGGCACATGTGTGGACTTCCCAACTGACGAGGTGGGTGACTTCATCACCAAGGCAGCCGCTGCCGGGAAAGTAGTCGCTGCAGTGTGCCACGGCCCCATGTCCTTGGTGAAGGCCAAGGGTGCAGACGGAGAACCTCTGGTGAAAGGCAAGAAGGTGTGCGCCTTTACGGATGTTGAGGAAGAGCAGGTAGGCCTCACCGGGAAGGTGCCCTTCCTCCTTGAGCAGAAGATGAAAGAGCTCGGGGCAGAGGTTAAAGTCGGTGATCCCTGGACCGACCAAGCGGTGCGAGACGGTAACCTAGTGACCGGCCAGAATCCGCAGAGCTCGGTATCAGTGGCCAAATTGGTCGCTGAGGCCGTCGGCGCATAATTGTCGCCAAGCAGAGCTTCACAAATGGTGGGGTGGCGGATCGCCGCTTTTCGCCGACATGTTTCTCCGTGGTGGCCAAGCGCGAAGCAGCTGGCTCACCGTCTCCGAAACAGACCGTAAACAGACTGTGACCGTCAGAACACGTCTTTGCTGTTGCGGGATTTGTGTCAGCTTTCAGTCATGCTGAGCCCTATAAGCCCTAAGATCTCCAACCCTAAAGTAACTCGAAAAATCCAAAAGACGATCTGGTATAAGAACCTGAAGAGCGCCTGACGGGTTTCCGTGACTTCTCCTGCGTACTCAGCTTCTGACGAATTCTGGCAGCGTATTCGGCTAGAACCGTCCATACTTCGTACGTAGTGCAACCTTTAAGCCGCATGTCCGGATCCTAAAACCGAAAGCCTGCTACCCCGAAACCCTAGGTCCTACACTAAGCCCTAAAATCCTAAACCTTCTTCTCGTCGTACTTGGAACCTGCCCAGGCATGTCCGATTGTGAGTGCTGAAACCGTCTTCAAGCATGAGGTCCATGTCGGCACGGCCGCGAAGTTGGAGTTGATACGCCGGCTGACCGCAGCTGGGATTCGACCCATCCTCAGTGTGAATCAGACGACTATTCCAGAAGCCAGAAAATCTTGCAGCACTAGCCTAATACCCATAAGTAAGAAAGAATACAGGAAACGCCAGCACGAATCACCCTTAACCCACATTCCAGTTTTGTCGCTTCTGCTATAATGTTTAGGGTTCAGGGTTTGGGTTCAAGAACCCAGCGGTAAGCATGGCTAAGCTATAATCGGGTGTAGGGTTTAGGGGAAGCCTGAAGTAACGGATATTGCACCCGGGACAGTTCCTCAAATGATAGTAGGGACGCTGAATTAATTGAGGGATATGGGAGTTTCTCAAAACAGGTAAGTCGACCTATGCAGGTTGCCTGTCCCTCACTTGGAGCCACATTTTCTATACTGTCCATACTCATCAGTATCTGGTTTACCCAAAGCCCTAAACCCCTGCTGGTCCGAAAGAGCACAACCTGTGCATGGTTACGGTTGATGATATAAGTCCTGCATTACCCATGGTAAGGAATACATCATAATTTACATAGTTTAGGGTGCTTAAGGTACAGTAATACAGGACTTTCATCATCAACAGTCGGACTCTGAAAGCATACGCATGAGTTGAGAGGCATGCCGTTTTGATTGCAGGAGACACACTGGGTGGGCCTAGTGTTACATTCCTTAAGATTGAACATATAGCTGCATGCTTGCATGCATGGACGGATGCATGGATGGATTGATGGATGCATGGGTGGATGGGTATACATCACGTATGTATATATATATATATATAGACATTATATATTACTGTATATACACATACATATATATATATATATATACATATCAGTTTATAGACTTATACATGTATACGTATGCACATGCACACGCATGCACACATATAGACACTGTAGGCAAAGCTCGGGTCTTCTTGAAGGTCATGGGCAGCTCGGTCATGGGCAGCTCTAACCCGACAGCCACGAGTGGGCTACGATACCACCTGACAACATCGAACTCTGCGTAGAGTATAATGTAGTTCCTGGTGAATAAACTCTCTCACCTTGAAAACGGACTATAATCGGGGTCCTGACACAAAGGCCCAAAACAAAGGGTTTATTTATCAGGGGTCTCTATTAGGGAAAATTATCAGGGGTCTCTATTAGGGAAAATTGGTTTAAACTTTGAAGCCATATCAACTCGACGCATCAGCTGTTCGTCCCTTGATGTTTTCTCGCCGCCGCACCGCGCGTGTCAGCTCGCATGATTCAGTGTAGCAGCCAAGCATCCACGCAACATCATGGTGCATGGGAAACTTCCTCGTGTCTGCAGGAAGTTGACAAAGATCCGACACATGGAGGCGCTTCCCAGAAGCCCGTACCCCAAAAGCTCGAAGCTGTACGTACAAGTCTCACTCATGGATCCAGCGCCGTCCCATCACTAGCCATCAACACTGTACTATGCCATATGTCGGACTTCGGACTCGAGTTGTGGATATTTAAGCTTTCATGGCTCATGAAGAGTCCGAGACCCTCGCTGCAAAAGCTGACCCTCGAGCAGACAGGATACCTTAGACCCCCAAGCCGCCGATGTCCCAGACGCATGGCACAGCGGGAAAGGAGAAATTACAAGACCGCCGAGCGGGAAGAGCGCGAGAAGAGGCATGTAGCCCCAAAGCCTAAAACTCGCATGGGCGGGGGGTCCACCTCCGGGAGTTTGTACTGCATGATAATGCTAAATATCTAGTAGATACTAATCATTTATACATTAGGTATAGTATTCCACATGCAATGTGCAATTAATAACTACTATAAATGCCAATATGTATACACACATACATAAGTAAATAGATAAATAAATAAACATATATATATATATATATATATATTGTATACACAAATGTAAGATTTGATATATAATGGATAGTCTAAAATACCCAGTGCATATGTTGTGTTGTACAATCTACACTCACGGGAGCCCTTTGTGAATTTGCTGCACCCGCTGTCGATTGGAATCCACCGGGCAGGGCACTTTATGGGTACGAGGACATAGGGCTTTACTACCCCCTCAAGCCTAGACCCTAAGCCCGAAAACCTTCAAGCCCTAAACCCTGTATGCCCACAAACCCTTTCAACCACCCTAAATCCTAAACCCTAAACCCTTGCAAACGCCTCCACAGCCTTAATACTAGATCCCAGACCCTCAAGCTGCCAGAGCCAGAATCCCAGTCCGTTCCTCTACCGGACCCAAAGCCCTGCGCAACCGTAGAAAAAACAACCCAAAGCCCTGAAACCAAAACCCAAACTCTCAGCCCTTATAGAACCCTTGTAGCCACCCTTACTGCAACCCTTATAGTAGCCCTTTGGTAAGCCTTAAACCCAGCTTAAGGATGACGGAGAACCGGAGCCGCAATCCCAAAACATGCAACCCATAAGAGTCTAGGAGTCTAGGCATAGTGCACAATCTCCGCTGGAAAAAGGGTTGAATGTGCAGGGTCTCCGTATGTCCGGGCCCGGCAAGCACAACAGGGGATAGTCGTTTCGTGACTAGTTCAACAACGGAAGCACATATAGACCCGCAAGGAAGACCATTACAGGTATTCTGCTGTGGGGTTTCAGGGTTTAGAGTTATAGCAAGCAAGAGACTCGATCAATCCAATCCTGCGGAACTAGTTCGAGCATTAAGAGCGGGCCATCACCACCACCACCACCGGATTGATCGAGTCTCTTGCCTCTAGTCCCTGTAGCTTCTGTAGTGGTTCTTTTCGGTGTCTAACGAAGTGTTAGACGGCCGCGCGGCTGACAGACCTCTGAGTCCTTCAGAGAGAGAGAGTGTTTTATAGCAAGCCAAAATGACGCTGTAAACTGTGAGCTTTCCAAGTTGTGCCTGAGCCTTGGATGCGCAAAGTGCATGAGTTTGGAGTCTTGAGGCACGAGGGCTGAAGCTTCGGCGTCCGTCATGAGGGCATGTGCACTGCAGCCCCTCCTCAAAAAAAGTGCCTTTGGGTTTTTGTGGTTTAGTGACAGTTACAAAAGCACAACCGGGGATTGCACTCGGAAGCTCCAGCACCCGAAACACATTTTGAGATAAGACTCGCGAAGCCCACTCGAACCAGCACAGTAAGCCTAATGTAAACCCTACTTAAAGGATCTTGGGACTTAGTAACTGAGGTTATAAGTAAGGTAGCCATACTTATAATTACTTATAACTTCAATTAAGGTACTTATACCCCCACTTACTAAGTCCCAAGATCCTCCAAGTACAAACCCTGAAACGCTCGTTGGGGCTTGGGCTAGGGGGCTCTTGTAAACCCTACTGTAGATCCTCAGGCGCAAGTGGCGGAAGGAACGGCGCGAGCGAGCTAAAGAGGCACCCCCGCGTTACGGATCTGAGGGGCAGAAGGAGTTCAGAACTCTGCAACATTCATGGAATCCGCATTTCCGGGTAGTGACACTACCTATTATAGGTGGCGTCCTATTCTTGTGGGTGCCCTCTTCTTTAAGGAACTTCAGGGTTTTGAAACTGTGTGGTGGCAGGAAGTCTGAAGGCTCGGTCGCGGGTCTACGGCCCTGGGCCAGGGCTGCAAGGCATATTACAGCGTTCAGGCTTTCAATGCGCATGAGCCGGTTTAGAGGCAACCTCTAAACCCTTGAATCATGAACCAACCGAGAAAGCAGGTTGACCATGAGCAAACCTGTGCAAACTTGTCGATGTTCCATGCTCGCAGCTAGCCGTCAGACCGGGCGCACCGTGGCGGTTGCAGCGTCGCATACCGGGAGAGAGACCCTAAACCCTAATCCCTTGGAGACTTTGAGGAGGGGCTGGCAGTTGGCAGGTCCAGGTCTCTAGCCCGACATCTTCTTCTACTACTAAGCCCAAAACCCATAAGTCATAAACCCACCCAGAAAGCCGTGATTTCGGGGTTTCAGGGATTGGTTTAGGGCCGTTTAGGGTTTAAGGCTCCTAGCTTCCCAGCTGATTGGCAGAGTCTGGGTTCAAAAGAGTCTCCTAGCAAGCCGTGATTCCGGGTTTTCGGGATTGTTTTATTTACAAGCTTCTTTTGAAGCCAAGCGTTCTCAAAGCAAGCTTCAACCGAGCTCCTCGGACCACAGATGACCCAGAGATAGTGGTGGTTTGGTTTTGGGGTCGTGGGTTTAGGGTTTAGTTTAGGGTTTAGGGCTTCCTAGACGTCGTTCAAAAAAGGCCCAGTATTCAGGAAGCCGGAAGCCGTAAGCCCCAAATCAGGGTTTCCGAAGGATTCAGAATTGAGCTTCCGTGGGCAGCGCTGAAGATAGCTGAAGTGTGCGAAACCTTTGCCACCCCAAGCCCGCAAGCCCAACACATATAAGCCAACAAAGCGCGTGAACGTAAACTGTTGAGACCTCCCCCTTCATGTCCCTCAATTCCCGTCAGGGAAATGGCCCTTCAAGAGTTCTCCAAGAGTTTAGATTTTGCCTACACTTCGTTCTGAACTGATTCCCTAAACCCTAAAGGGAAAACCCTAAACCCTAAACCCTAAACCCTAAACCTTAGCTGATTCCCTAACGTTGCTAGGACTCGCGGGTGCTTTTTGAAACGTTTCCCAGCACAGCAGAAAGCAGGATGAGACCTGGTCGCTTGCGCAATGGCTCATGGCAGGTTCCTGCAGGGTTTAGGGTTTAGGGGTTTAGGGGTTTAGGGGTTTAGGGGTTTAGGGGTTTAGGGGTTTTAGGGGTTTAGGGTTTTAGGGTTCAGAACGCGGGCTATCAGTCCGGCCGAGATCTGACAAGGCCGTTGCAAAAGGGTTCAGAACGAAAACGGTATCGGTGAGCAAAGATGACACAGCACAGGGTCCGGAGTCTGCCCTTTGGTTAGGAGCTTCGGTGAGTTCACGTACTCATGGTGCTTAGTTTTGTTTGAGGTGTAATAGTGCAGGGTTATGGGCTGAGGTTTCCCTAAACCCCTAAACCCTAAACCCTAAACCAAGTGAGCCTACTTTGATGCTCTGTTAACGATTCTCTGAAGACAGTATCGTCTTGTCCGAGTGTGAGTGTCAAAAAACCCTAAACCCCATCCCAAAACCCACAAAGCAATAAGGGCGGCTGCAAAGTACAGGGCCAGGGCTTCATTCAGGTTTGGGGCTGGATGTGGCTGTTTTCATTTGAAGCTGCATGCACATATGTATGTATGTACGTATGTATGTATGCATGTATGTATGTATGTATGTACGTATGTATGTATGTATGTATGTATGTATGTATGTATGTATGTATGTACATATTTGATGTATGTATGTGTGTCTATGCGTACACATATTTCTGGGTATCCTCATTGCCTTTGGGTATTTCTAAGCAGATCGTCAAGGTCTGGAACCCTCGAAGCCGGGAGAGCGAGGGAGAGAGGGCCATTTGCTTTATGAGTCCTGAGACCTAGCCCCTGGTTTCCCAAGCCCGCATGACACATGTCTGCAGCCCTTGCAGGGTTTTGCATGTGCGTGGTCGCCCAATGCAGGGCAGAGAGGTTGAAGTGCGGGAGTGCTTGCATGCTGCATGTTGGCCGAACTGTCGCAGTGCGGTGGAATCTGGCCGAATAGATTTGGGTAAGGGCTTAAGCTTCATCAGCCAAAAAGGTGAGAAGCTGCATGTTCACAGCTGCCCCCACCCGTGTAGCGACCTGCAGAGAGCCGAAACTTGTCGCAACTAGGTAAGCTGGGATTTTGCAAGCTAAGTCCTGAGCCCCGACCCCTTACACCCATAGAGCCCAAAGCGCAAACCCGCGCATCCTAAACCCTGAACCCACGACGTCCTCTGGAAAGGTTTCGGCATCCTGTGCTGCAGGGAGGTGTCGCACGGCTCCAAGGTGCCCTGGAATGAGACGACTGGTTGTGGCCAACACCATGGTGTACGGTTTTGACTGGTAGACGGGTACAGTATGTAGGGGAGAAGCAACACGAGTTGATTGATCCTCCGGCGCATAAGAGGGCAGCAGGTTGAATCCGCATGTTTGGGGCCAAGGATACTTGTAGCCTTATGGTTGCTTTCCTGCCTAAGGAAAAGGATGTTCCACAACGAGCGAAAACACAATATTAGCAGATCTGAAAAACCTAATCTCAAAGAACCTCGAAGAAGCATAAGGAAAACGCATAAGCGCAAGCAAAAGCATAAGCGATAACGCAGAAGCAAAAAAAGTAAGCACAGAACACATAAGCACAACCACATCAGCGCATGAAATCATAAGCAAAAAACATAAGCAGAAAAGCATAAGCGCGAAATAGCATAAGTGGAATAAGGCCCGTAATGCTTAAGATAACTTTGAGGATTCCTGTCCAATCGTATATACTCTGGATCTTGGGGGGATACCTCCTGTTTCCCAGCTTGCTGTTGCCAAACCCAACTGCCAAGCAAAGCTCGGCCCCCGAAAACATAAGCAAGTCAGGGCTGACGGCTCGAAGTTCGTTGGTTCGATTGTCCGCCCGCTTTCTTCCAGTTCTATATCCCGCAAAATTAAACTTGCAGGATCAAGCACAACTGATCCAGGTTGCGGTTGCCATTGCTGTTGTTGCCTTTCTTGGTGTTTGAGGTTGTGGTGGTTGTTGTTGTTGCTGTGCTGATGCTGTTATTTGTGTTTTCGTTCTTTTTTATGCTAAGACTATGTTGTTGCTTTGCGTTTCTTTCCGCTTATATCAACATTATGCTTCTTCTTATGCTTTCATTCCACTTATGCTAAAATGATGCTTTTAGTCCACACCTGCTTATTCTGCAATTATATGCACACTGAAAGGCATCATTTCAGCATATCCGGCCTCCGGGCCCAGCCCACCCTCTTACAATCAGCACACCCACCTGCTACCCCCAGATCAACCCACTCCCACCGCGCCTTGTCGTTGTCGTTGTCAGTTTTGTCGTCGTTGTCGTTGCGATTGTGGTTGTGGTTGAGGGAATGCAGACTCAGACCAAATACCCGGTGATGGCCCTTATGTCCCGTGGCTGAAAAAGAATGGGCTCAGACGCTTCAGACTACTGCACGGTGGATTCCAACCTCGCCCAAAAGCCGAAAGCATTCATAGATACATGTGTCGTCCAAGACTTACGGGGCGTCGCTCACGGTGTTTCTACTTGTGTTCTCTTGCTTGCGCTTTTTTGAGTATGCTGTGTTGTAACTATGTTTTTGCTTATGTTTGTTGGGTCTTACGTTTTTTTGCTCATGCTTTTCGCTGCTTATGCTTTCTTGCTTATGATTTTTGGTGCTTGCTTATGCTTTTCCGAGTTTGGGACCTTTGGCCAAAAAGAAGTCATAATTGTAGCCCTTGGCACTGGTTGTGTTCCTGCAACCGTTGCAGCCTTGTTGGTTATGCTCGTGTCTACTACCATGGCTGGGATGAGTGGGGCTGCGGCAAAGAAACCTAAATGCGAGACTGTCTCAACTGCATGTATGACGGCGATCTTCAAGACAATGTTCACTACACCTAGTGACCCAGTGCGGCTTGGGCTAGCAACAAGCGACAGATGACAAAAGAGGTGCCCGCAAAACTTGCGCCAGCTATACTTTCCGGCCAATGCAATCAACAGCAGTAGTGTTTATGTACGGCGCTGTCATGAAAGGAGCGATGGACAGTGGATGTACAAGCTACTGACTTCCAGAAGAAGGGCACCAGTCAGATCACCCGCAGAGCATCAGAGTCATCATCACGATCCTGGTCAGCGCAATGCTCGCAAATCATGTCAAAAGAAGCATGTAACATCAATGAAAGTGTTAACAAGCACGGTATATACTCGCAACAGGTCGTCCAGCGATGGCATCATGCCGTGTCTACCATAGTCGTTATTTTTCTGACGAAGCTGTTGGAACACTTGCCATGGACAGCTGGGGCAATTTACCCTGCACCGTCATCCGCGTTGTGATGACTACCACCACCATTACCACATGGTCTGCATTGGTCTGATCATCATCCAGCCTATTCATTGTTCGCCCTCAACATCATGTTAGTGTTCCGGCTTTTCTTCATAGTTGACTTCGTTGCAGCTACCCTCGTTGTCTTCATTCTCATAACTCTTATCAACATCGGCAGCAGTCTAGAGTCAGCCACCAAAGCCCTATGTAAAACATCCTAAACCATTTAGACCTTGACTCACAAACCCAGAATCATCATCCCTGTATCCGCATAGGCATACTCTGCTCCTCAACTTTCGCACGGGTCGCAAGTTTACCAGGAGCACATCAGCGATGCCAAGCGTCGCAAGGAGAAGGAGCATCCTGCGCAGACTCCCGATGTCCTCACGAAGCCCCGTAGGAAGTGTTCCTCGGAGCTGGGCCAGACATGAGCAAGACACCCATGATTATGTGTTGCTCTACCACGCTTTTAGATGATCTGCTATTGTTGTTGCCTTCTTGCCGAGATCACTGTCCAAAACCCGTGACCAATCTGAACAGATGCACATCCCCATGATGACAGTACTCGTATCGAACCTGAAGCCCAGACTTCGCAAACCCGGAAGACCATCTGTATAAACCTGCCTCGCATACACTAGAAGTCAGAGAGGGCTTTGTTCATGAATGTGGGGCTTTGGTTTTCGGGCACGCTGCGTTGATCTCGACAGCCACTCAGCCAAAAAGCATAATCCCAATTCCATAGCCGCCTCATGCCCTAAACCCGAAAAGCTAAACTTAAGCCCCTAAAGGCCCTAAACCTAAGCTAAAGGAGAAATATTGGCTTACTTACTTGTGGGTTTTCGTTGTAAAGTGAATTTTGCTTGGCAAGCTAACAAACAACCAATGTGACAACCAAGCAAACCTCGCTTGTGAGCATTGTCCTCAGCTATGCGAGAGGGAAAACAACTCATAAACCCTGAGCCCTAAGCCCCTAAACCCTAAACCCTAAACCATCTGGACAGGAGCGGCGAGCACGGCGGAAGGAAGGAAAGCAGCGAGAACGCCGGGGCCTCAGATAATGTAGCAACCTGATAAACATGTAGGCTTTAGGGCTTTAGCTAATTTAGGGCCAGGGCCTAGGGGTTAGGGGTTTAGTGGTTTAGGGTGTAGGGGCTTAGAGTCCACAGCACAGTCGGCGCCTCGGTTCCTGGCATATGCGTAGTCCAGGTGTAAAAGGGGGCTTAGGATCTTTGAGTTGTAGCACGCGGGCATTGCATCCTGAAGCTTGAGATGACTCAGTGGGTCAGTTTTTGCAGTCTGGGGTAGCCGGGTGTCACGAGTCCACAGCACCGTCGACACCTCGGCTCTTGGCATATGCAATAGCCCAGGTGTGAAAGGGGGTTTAGGATTTGGGGCTTAAGGGTTAGAGCTGATATGAGTCACTTTGAAAGCTTAGGGTTAATATTAGGAACGTCAGTATGATCCTCATGAACCTCCTTGCTTGCATCGCAGTTTCTGCGAAGCCCCTGCTCTCCTAAATTGCCCTACACCCTAAACCCCTAAACCCCTAAACCCTAAACCCTAAACCCCCGAACAACTGCTTTGGGTTGTTTGAAGCCGCGATTTCTCCCTGCAGAGATTTGGGAAGGCAAGGTTTCGTTGTTGAACCCTTGTGCAACCTATATAGGAATACAGTGCTTATGGAACACGTATAGGAATATAGTGCCTTCGTGGAATCCCTAGAGTGCCCCTGTCGAAGGGATCTGGTTTATGTGGAGGTCAGAGGGAGTCATGCGGCTTGTCCTCCTGGGTTTTGCAGTATCAGTAGCGTACTGTATTATGTTTTCTTGGAGTTTCAGTTCAAGGAACTGGCAATGTCTAGGAGGTAGGGTTCGTCGGTTCTTTCCAGGAGGGGACGATCGGCGGCACCAGCGACACCCCAAGGACGTTGAAGACTTGGGTCGTGTCAAGGACGGGCACGTTTGCACGGGGTTGAGTTTCCAAGTTTGGTGACTTTTCGGTGCTTCTAAACTCTAAACAGTACAGGTACCTTATTCGGGGGTCCCTGCCACTTGTACCAATTACCCTACTACCCTGGACCCAAAAGCCACAGCTTGAAATTTGACCAATCCCTCTTGAGCGCACGACAGTTGGTTATAAGTTTGGGGCCCGTGTCAATACATGCTAGAATCTGCTAGAAGCCTTCCCTCTACGCTGAACGAAGAGAGATGCTTTACAACGGGCGAAGAGAGCTGTTGGCCCGGGGTAGTATGTTGGAGCCTGGCAGTTGGCACTTCATTACTTATGCTTCTCCTACCTTCCTTCCCCGGCCCACAGATACCGCAACCAAACAATATCATTTACGACTTGGCCCTTTTGCGAAATCCATTGCATTCGATCTGGAGTGGCCTTGGTCCACGCTGCCCTGATACCCAAACCAGCCACATGCAGGGCGCGCCGGATGAGGTGGAGATGGAGCACAATGCAGACTTTCTAAGGAGGAGGTGGGAGGTTTGGGGGTTTCAGGGATGGGAGTCGGTCTGCAAGGCATCACATACCCCGCTTGTTCTGCAACACAGTGAATTTTAGTGAATGCCCGAGCTGAAAGCCTTTTTCTGAAGGCCTTGTCGAAAATACTAGGGCATTTTAGTGTGAGTAACAATATCCCATTATCGTCACTTTACAGCTATAGTATACATGACCACATTTTGGCTAATTTTTGGTATGCACCCTCCGGCAAGGAAGACGCAAAATCCAGCAATGTGCAGCCGTAGTTCTACTGTGCGCAGATAGCCCTAAACCCAAAGCTTCGATTCCCCAAACGAGGCCCTAAACGCACTAACCCCTAAACCCTAAACGCCTTAAACACTAATTAAATGAGCCCTAAGCCCTAAGCCCTAAAAACGCCCGAAGCCCTAAACCCCAAGCCAAACAACCGTAAACAAAAAACGCTAACCGCCCGAAGCCCTGAACCCTAAACGCCCTAAGCCCTAAACGCTTCGCCCTTAAACCCTTGGTTGAGTGCTTTTGGGTTCTCTCGGCTCCCCTCGCCGGACAGGAGCAGCAGCCGTCTACTTGACGACGACAGCGAGTACTCCGGGGAGAGTGCCCGGAGTGGCTGCGTGGCTGGAAAGGGCCTGCGGAACCTGCTGTCATGTGGCGTCCCTGTAGATATTAGGTGTATGCTTTTGCGGGCCTAACAAACGGGGGGCTGATGATAGGCTAAGCTGGAGTGGGTCAGGTTATTCTGTGAGGTTCATGTCAAACGCTTTGCGTCGTCCGCCTCGGCCCGACTGTACTTGAAGCAGGTGCATTGCATCGGAAAGCAATGGGTAGGTCACACAGGTGAGGTCTTGAGTGAATGAGCGCAGTTGCTTCAGAATGCTTTTTTCATGTCAGTAGTCGTTTTCATGCTGAGGCTCTGAGCAATAGTCCCACGGGAAAGGTGGCGCATTCCCTGCATCATCCCATAGACGTTACTATAATCATCGTATCAGACTTCTCACTGGTCTCGCATACAACCTCCCATATGTTAGAAGGGGAATCAACCTTTGCAGCGAAGTACAACACGCAGACCCAAAATTGCCAGGCTTTCACGAATAATGCAAGCTAGCCCGTCTTGCCCTTGGCAAGGAAATGAGGAAGCAAGCGACGGGGGGGGAGGGGGTGGGGGGCCGGGTGGGGGAGGTGGGGCCGGTGGGGGAAGCAGGGAAACGTAGGGGGAAAGCGCTTGAGAACCAGGCTTCAAGGTTCCCGGGTTGTCTCTAGCCGGACCAACACATGCAAAGCCATACCTGGGCCTGCAAGTTGGACTTTCCAACACAGTAACCCATCACATGTCGAACAGATTTCCAATATTGCAGAAAATGGCTAATCCGTCACCCCCATCTGCTGTTCGGCATCGGCGTTTTGCTGAGGCAGGTGGCCGAGGGCCTATCTAGTACCACAATGTGGTAATCTAGTACCATAATGTGCTACAATATACCATAACTACTCAATGTACTCCAAGATACTCGTACGAGTATCTACTATCTAGATACTAGATCCTAAACCAAAGGGCTCAAGTGCAGACCAGCGAGACGTGCAGTCTTTTGCGGTTTGAGGTTCCCTTCGAGCTTGGGTTTCGCAGCATCAGTCCAGGCGTGAACCCAGCAAGGCGTAACTAGCAGGTAGTAGTACAGTAGTAGTACAATAGTACTACAGTAATAGTACAGTAGTAGTACAGTAATAGTACAGTAGTAGTACAGTAGTAGTACAGTAGTAGTGCAGTAGCAGTAGCACCAAGTCCCGCGAGCAGCGACTGAGGCTTGTCGCGCGCCTCTTCTTTCGAGTCCTGGCAGCAGAGTGTCAGATGTCTTGTCTTGTTTTCTTCGGGCTCGGAGCGTGGGGGAATGCTTTAAGTATGGTTCGGGGTGGTAGGGTCAAGTGCCTAAATTATGCCTCGGGGCCTCTACTCTCTATTCCCAAAAAGGTTCAATGGAGACGAGTCCTGGGCATACGCAGGGAAGCCATAATTCTCTTTGTTTGGGGATGCAACATAGACGCCCCGGCTAGTCTCATGTGCAACTCTAACCGTACGCCCTAAATCCTGTAGGACCCGGCACATCGGGAAGGTTTCGAAGTCGCCAGTTATTCGATGCCAAAACGCCCTCAGGCTTCTTCTTATGCATCCTACGTCTCCACGCAGTCGGCAGAGCCCCGTCGCAGAAGGAGCCAGGAGCGCGTCCAGCAAAAAGGTCACCTAAGTAGCGAGAGGAAGAAGGCATGTGCACGCTCGCAATTGTCAAAGAACCTTGCAAGTTCAGGAATGCTAGGATTCGTGTTTTTTGAGCTGCAGGATCACGGGGGCCTTAGGATTCTGTGATTCGGGCTTGGGATCCATTTAGTTGAAAGTTCTTGGGTCGAAAGGTAGCCAGGCTGAATACTTTCATCCTACTTCCGCGTCTCTGCCGATAACTCGCATCAGCCTGATTCTCCAAATCCCAATGCGGGCCGCGTCCTTGCCAGGCGGGAGGGTAAAAAACGCTACAGACCCGAAGCCTCAAAGCCCCTATAGCCCTAAATCGTAAACCCCCAAAGACCCTACACCCGAAGCCCTTAACCCTAAACCTCGAAGCCTCAAAGCATGTAAACCCTCCAGGGCTCCCGACGTGGCTCCAAGGGCCGCGAAGGACCGGCTGAGGCTGCGCCGTCGACGGTGAAGGCACCGACAGTGGGTCTTTTTGCCGGGCAGGCCTTTCGGCTTCAGGCGGAGCTGGTGAGCCTCTGAACCTTTAATTCTACCCTAAACTACCAAACCCTACTTTTTGTAGGTCCTGAATCCTTGAACCCTAAACTTCCTAAACCCCATATTCAGCTCCACTGTTAAACCAGCCCTAAACCCTAAACCCTGCAGGTCCTAAATCTCGCCGATTTGCGTGGCAGAGAGCTCCCTGCCAAGCTAGAGGACCTGCAGAAGGCCTACTCGCCCGGGTTTAGGGTTGAGGGGTTTAGAGTTTAGAGTTTAGGGGTTTAGGGTTTAGGGTTTTCAGGGTTGGGTTTTTTCGTGGCTACTATACAGGCTCCTGGAGGGTTCAGGGGTTGAGGGTATAAGGTTTGCAGGCTGGATGCAAAAAGGGTATAAGGTTTTGGGTTTAAGATTTCCGGGTTAAAGAACATGATGAATGAAAGGATTTTTAGGGTATCGGGATGTCAGGTTTCGGGTTTAGGTTGTAGGGGATCCCAATCTGGCCGGGCGAGCACTAATCAAGCCTGTGCTATAAAGAGTGTGCGGGATTTAAGCCCAGCCCCTAGCCCCAATCCGTATGAAATGTTAGCGGAGATTGTCGAAGACGGTTTTGGGCCTCTCTTATCTGCTCGCGAAGCTGCTCCCATCCACAGTTGACGCAGTGACGTAAGGTGACTGGTATAGCTGGTCTAGTCTAGGCCTCTCTTAGGCTCTTTTCTCTGGACCCTCGGCCTCCCGTCGCACCGGCTAGCTGTTTGAGCCTGTCTCCAAGAGGCGTGGCCATCAGTGTGTGCTAGAGTGCGGGCGTCGGAGAGGGTTGGAAAAAATCCTGCCCTGGGTTCAGGGGTTTCTTAGGCTACGGACTCATGATTTGTTCCACATAAACAAAGGTCTTTTTGTTGAAGTAGAGTCTAGGAGCTTAGGACTGAATCTAGAGTCTATAGACTACCAACTAGCTCGGAAACCCGGATTCCTGGAGTCAGCTGAGGTTTGGGGGCTTCAGGTATTATTTCATGCTTGCGGACTTAGTTTCTCGACCCTGAGGCCCTAAACCAAAGCCATGCTGGCTTTTGACACGAGGTTCCTATGGATCCGGCGATTGCACGAACATCCGTGAAGAACGGGGCTGCGGCTGCGAACGGCTCCAGCAGCCTCTTGGATGCATGGGTTTATCAGGGGCATTGTCTTCTATTTCTAGTCTTTTCAGCCCGCCTTTCGAGCCCTTGTGCTTGGGGCCTGTCGCATGTGCGTCCTCCGACTTTCGAAGCATTTTCCTTGGCGAGGCTACACAGCAAACAGTAAACCTCAATCCAAAGTCCCAGACATCCCCGTTCCAACGAAATTGCCGCATTGTCTTTTTTGGGCAGGACAATCTTGCCCTTGGCCTAGCATGTGATGCTCGTTGCACGTTCCGATGCCAATTCTGATCCAATCCGAACAACACGAAACGGATGCTTTGGATGTTGTTTTTGCTTGACTGTGTTGGCACCTTCACCGTTTCGGGTTGGCTTAACGCGTCAAAGTGAGATAAGGACCTGGGCTCAATCTTTCGCAGCCCGTTGACATCAGTCATCAGAATCTCGAGATGCCATGCAAGTAGTTTCAACAAAGGCGCCAACAGCGCTAACCATGTTGAAACTGTCATGACAAAGTGCCAAAGTGAATCAGAAGCTGCTTCGTTTGCGGTTTTTGCAGACTGCAGCCACAAAGGTCAACAACCTTGGAAATAGACCTTAGTGAAAGAGCGGAAACCTAAATCCTAAACCCTAACAGACCCCTCAATGTCAAGAGCGGGGCCTAGCATGCTTGTAGGATGGCGCCCTACCCTGCATAAGCGATCCCCCCCGATGCTACAATCCACTCACAAATAAAAGCCTACAGAGACAGCATAAAGCCTAGAAGTGCCTATGCATACACGCATACATACATACATACATACATACATACATACATACCTACGTACATACATACATACATACATACATACATACGTACATTATATATATATATACATACGCGCTGAATACATTATGTATGTATATATATATATACACACATGCAGCACGCACACAGGCAGATGTATCCACTTCCAAAGTACATCTATCTATCTATCTATCTATCTATCTATCTATCTATCGATCTATCGATCTATCGACCTATCGACCTATCTATCTATCTATCTATCTATCTATCTATCTATACACACGTTCACAGATGTGGCGCCCCGGAGCCCGAAGTAACTGAGCAGACCAAGGCAATCGGCAGCCGGCGAAGCCTTCCCCGCCGCCAGTGGAGGCATGGGGTTCAAAAAAAAGGCTCGCACAAGAAACAAATCCCGAAACCAATGCCCAGAACCCAATGGAGACCCTACACTCTCAGACCCTCGTCGCTGACCCTACAGACTAATACCCTAAACGGAAGAGCCCCGAGCCTGGCGACCCTTGCCTCCAGGTGCCTCCTCGAGAGGAGCAAGAGGAGGTTCAGGTGCAGATTCAAATCTACCTATAGTCTCCATTGTAGTTCCTTTTTTGGTTAACCAAATTTATATTAAAGGATCCTAACCATAAAATTGGTTAACTAAAAAAAGGAACTACAATGGAGACTATAGGTAGGTGGTTGAAGGTGGTTTTGCGGTGATGCGGGAAGGGGGGACTGGGGATAATGCTGTGCGGGTTCAGGGTTTTTGGGGTTTCGGGGGCTGGTTCTCCGAGTTAGCAACAGCCCCTGCCACCCTGTGCTTGACACCCAGAAGAAGATGTCTCAAACCCTTCACATGGGAGTTTCCTATTTTGCCAAAGACCCCCCGGCCCCACCCACTTGTTGATCCCATCTGACATTCGCCGAGAGTCAGGTCTTCGGCCGCTATTCCATTCCCCCACTGTATTTTTCGCACCCTGCTACGACAGCACTTTTCGCCACACTACCCTCGACGTCATCTCCGCCTTTCAAAGCCTGATTTGCAGTAGGGGGGTTCAGAAGCAAGAGGAGGAGGAGGAGGAAGAGCAAATGCAGGAGCACGAGCAACACAGGAGCAGGCTGCAGGAGTAAAAGCAAGGGAACAGGCAAGAGCAGGAGCAAGAGCAACAGTAAGAGCAGACGAGCAAAAGCAGGAGCAACAGCAAGAGCAGGAGTATCAGCAAGAGAAGGAGCAAGAGCAAAATCCCTCAACAGTGACAGAAGAAATACAAACACAACCCAGTGTTAAAGCCGGTAGGATCCACGCTAGGGATTTGGAGATTGTAGGGCTCTGTAGCAATACTGCATATTCTGGCTGTCACGACTGGGCATAAGAGGAGCAGAAACCCCCTGTTACATATGCTTAATTATGGATGGAGGGCAGGCGCCTATAGCTTCCTAGAGTTCAGGGGCTGTTGTGAGGTCATCCCAGTCCCAGAGATGCAGCTCCCTGAACCCTCAACCCAAACCCTGGGCCGGAAACCCTTGAACCCGAAGCTCTGAAAAGCTCTTTAGCTTTGCTAAGGGAGCTTGTGTACAGAGCCCTCTGCTGCACTTCAGCAGTTGGCTGAGAGATCGGCCCTGCATTGGCTTATACACAGTTTTTGAGAAAGGGACAGCTTTTGGCGTATGGGGCCCTCCAGTGAAAAATTTGCAATTTCTAGCCGTAGAATCGGATAGCCAACTACATGGACTACCTTGCAGGATTCCGGTTAGCTGCAGGTAAAGTCTCTCCAGCACGCAAAGTCAACGCCCGTATCCCCTACAGCCCTACAGCCCATATGGAGCGAAATGCCCAGGTTCACCGTGCCGCTGCAAGAAGAAACTGCACATGTAATGCTCAGACACAAATCCCTAAACCCTAAACCCAANNCCCCCCCCCCCCCCCCCAAAGGATTTTCCGACACGTCCGAATACCCGGAAACAAGCAACCCTATAGACTCCTCCATGCCTATCCACAAGAGGCACCCCTCTCTGCACGGTCCGGCCGCTCCGAGGGCGCGGGCAGCGCTGCTGGGGCTTTCGTTGGGAATCACTGGAGCTCCAAGCCCAAGCCGTCAGCCGACAGCTGCTCTAATCCAGAAACCGCAAACCCTCAACCCCAAAGTGCAAAGCCGCATCCCTGAACCTAAACCCCAACCCTGTAAACCCTACAGCACCTTTCGAAAGCTGTGCCAAATAGAATCCAGGCTACTAGCTCGGAGAAGAAGCCTAGAAAAAGCAACAGATGCCGCAGACTCAGATGCCACAGACTCAGGTGAAAAGCGTTGCCTCCACTAGCATCCAGCTTCTTGGCACGAAGGTCTAGGATTGGAACATAGGTTCCGTACTTGTGTATATACATACAAATACATACATGCATACNNATGCATACACATGTACATACATACATACATACATACATACATACATACATGCATACATACATACATACATTCATACATAGATTCATTGATTCATTGATTCATTGACTCATTCATACATTCATCACATACATACATACATACATACATACATACATACATACATACATACATACATACGTGAATACATAATTACATAACTACATAAATACACATGCACATGCGTGTGTCTGTATGTGATTGAAAAAGGAGCACACACACACATATATATATAGATATAGATATAGATATAGATATAGATATAGATATAGATATAGATATAGATATAGATATAGATATATGTATACACAAGCAGCTGTTTTTAAATATGTGGTCTCTGGTTTCTGTCTTTGCTTATGCTGTAGGCAAAGGGCCCATGATGGCTGCTTGCCTCGTTTGTTATCCCCGCGCCCTGCGCGAGAGGAAGGAGTGATGTTGTGGTTTTCGCCGTCGTCCTCTATGTGGGTAGTTTTCTAAAGTAGGGTCCCTTTTTAGGTCCCAATTAAAGTACGGCACCCTTATAAAACGGACCCCCAAAAGGGACCCTAATTTAGAGAACTACCTATGTTGCTGTGGTGGCAGCAGAACTAGCAGTCGTCGTCTTTGTGTCCTGGTCCTCGTCTTCGTCCGGTTTGGGGGTGTAGAGTACGGCGCGAAGATGAGCCGGGCAAGGAGGCTGTGGGAGGAGCAAGTAGCAGTAGCAGCAGGAAGGAGGATAAGGTAGTAAGAGTGGGCGTTTCAATCGCTCTGTAGTCCATTCTTGACATGCTGCAGGATCCTGATAGTCGGAAACCCGAGCGTCACTGGACCGAATCCGAGCACTGGGGTAGGACGGGTAGTAGACAGAGTGCCCGTGCAAATGGCCATGGTCTTATGCGGGTCGCGCCTCAACTCCACGGAAGCCAGTGGAGGTTGATCGACATCAGGAATTGCCAGCGGCTTTCCTAATTGACGACGGCTTGAGCGATGGAGGCGAGCCCCTACTGCTCGATGGAGACAGAATCTGCCGACGAGCTCGTGTGGATTCCCTGGAAACTGGACATACCTACCTCTCCAACAGCATGCCAACTAGGGCCAGAATCTCTGCGCCCCCGAACCGGATCTTGCACAACCGCAACAAATCTCTTGTCGAGAACATGATGAAGGAGCTGCTACCGCTGCTTTGCAGTATTTTGCCTCGTAGTCGGCAGCACATGCGGCCTGAGTTTGTGCGAATCGTGTTTGCCCAGGAGCACCAAGTAGCTTGCCGTAACGCTCAACCGTATACAGGCTTCCTGTGTGTAGGTATTAAAAATATGTTATATATATATGTATATATACATATGTGTATATATATATATATATTTATTTATATATATATATGTATGAAAGCACTTTCTCATTTATTCCTATTTGTATGTGTGTGAATGCAGATATTTTTTTGTTTCTGTCTCCGTATATACATGTATTCATAGAACCTATAGCCCTACATAGACAGGCCCAGGCTTAATGTTCTGCAAACTCGGGAACCTACGAAACCGCTTTCCGAATTCGGTGCCAGGAGCTTTCTACCCTCTCAGGGAGGCGCTGCCGTCAGAAGGAGGTCGCTTCCCGAAGGCGGGATTAGGGTTTAGGCACACGCGTCAGATGGGAGTGAGACATCCGCCACGTGGTTATCGTTCAACAATCAGAACTCATCCATCACCGAACGGAGGGAATGTACAGCTGCAGCCCTTAGGTCAATGTCTTTCTCTTTAACCTGGCGGAGGTTAACGCGTGCGATTAGGGTTCAGGATGTAGGGCTTGGGGTGTAGGGGTTCACATTTTAGGGTCAAGGGTTTAGAGTTTACCTCAGGCGGCCCGATGCAGATGAAGACCCAGCACCGCCTCAACCGCAAGGGTGGCTGCTAGGTGGCATTTGGCATATTTGGGAGCCATTTTCGGCCTCTATCTTTCGTCATGTCTTTTCCTCTTCATGCCCTGTGCTTGACCTTTTACAATAGATCCCTCAGTCTTTAGCAGCCTTGCGGAAGAAAGCGTTGCTGATGACTTGCCCAGGAACTTCGCACTGCCGTGGTTCAGTCAAGCGACAGCCCAGATCACGAAGCCATGTGGAAGTCTACCGATGCATTCTGATCATCGGTGCTTCCATCAAGATCGGCTCGTCCCTTTTCTTTCCCTTTGTTAATGCCTCTTTTCCCACCAACCCTGGCATGCACTGCAAGTGCCACGGTGCCGCACGGCCCCCGGCTGCAGAGATCACTGTTTCACCCTAAGCCTCAAGCGGCACGTCTTCGGAAGTTGACTCGAGCCCACATGCTTTCTTGGTCACCATGTCGTGAAGTAACGCATACTGCATGCAAGATGGTGCTGCGACTGGATCGGAAACCTATAGTGTATTTCTGGCTGTCACATGGGTGCTTTGCACTTCTAAATAGCAGGAGTGGTTTGTCGCGAGTGCAAAGGATGAACCATGTTGGGATCAACTGATCAACCCGCTGCCCGAGTAACCTTCGCAGAAAAGAGAGTGCAGAGCCTTGGCATTCAGGGATGAGTTGTGGTATTTGCTGGTAAGGACTTCTTGTGCCACATCACCTGAAAAAGTTGCAGTCGGGCTACTTGAGCCCGACCACCACGCTAGTAAGCTGGACGAGTTTAGCACCTTCAGGGTTCAGCGCGGAAGGAGTCTTGCAATTCCTACTACGCCCCGCGCCGGAGCTAGAACCGGTATTCCTGAATTCTTAACCCGAGGTATTTAAAGAAAACCGAATGTACTACTACTAAACCCCACATCCGAGCTTCTCGCAGATACCGAGTACAGTACAGACCGACCTGCAGTCGTATTTTCATCTGCCCGTTTCTTTCCGTGTTCTCTGTGGTGTAGGCAAAGGGTTCATGATGGCTGCTTGTCCCATACGCCCTCGAACAGCAAGGAAAGGTTGACGGAGAGAGACCAAGTCATGTGATCTTTTCCATCTGTTGCCTGTGATCGGGTTTAGGGTTTAGGGTGTTTCGGAAGTTTAGGGTTTAATTAGGATTTAGGTTTTGGGGGCTGAGCGTGTAGTTGTCTTCCGGCCAGTCCTTGCTGCGGCGGCGGTGATGGCGGAGAAAGCGACAGTGGTGCTCGTGCGAAGTAGAGGTGGTAACAGTAGCCGTAGCAGGAGTAGTAGCAGTAGCAGCAGCAGTCGTAGTGGTAGTGGTCGTGCTGGCGGTCGTGGTGGTGGTGGTAGCTGGTAGCAGCAAGCGGAGAAGGAGTAGTTGTACTTGTCGTATTGGCAGCAGCAGTGCCCGCCGCTGTCGTCGACGTCTGTTTGTCCTTGTCCGTCTCTTTTTCGAGATGTTGGTAGTAGTACGTAACGACGAGGAGCAGGGAGAATAGGAGGAGCAAGGATCAGTAGCAGTAGAAGGAAGAAGGAGCAAGAGCAGGAGCAGCAGCAGCAGCAACAACAACCGTTACAGTGAGTCGGGATTCACGTGCCCAGTAACCAATTTCCTCTTCGCTTTGGACTGGAATAGGACGAAGACTGAGCGGGCAGAGTTGCATCGCTTGTTGCATAGCCATGACGCATCCGTGGCTGGACCGAAGTCGGGAAGTGGAGTAGGACGGGCATGTGGACAGCGTCTCTGTGCATTGTCCTGCAATGGCCATGGTGTTATGGGGGTCGATCCTCGACTCCGTACCACCACCCCGGAAGCCAACGGAGGTTGGTGGAGATCAGGATCTTCCGCCGGCTGTCCAGAATGACCAACGTCTGCATGTTGAGCCCCGCCCGAGCGATGGAGCGGAGCTCCTACTGCTCGATGGAGGTGAGACTTGCCGACGAGCTCGCAAAAACACTGGTGACTTTGGGGTGCCTTCGTTGGACACTCGGCAGTCCTACTTCTCCACAACCATGCCCAAAAGGCCCGAGGTGCCTGCGGCCCCGAACCGGATCCTGCACAACCACCATACATTTCGTATCGAGAGCATGATGAAGGAGCTGCACTTTACGGCAGTTTCCACTGCTTTTCTGCACCTGCACTGTGATTGACAGCCTCGCACCAGGTAGCTTTTAGTCAGAGATAGCCCATTCGGTAACCCCCAATGATCTATGCAACCTTTCTGTGTATGTGCAGACAAGACTAACCGAAGAGGTGTGCCCGGAACCAAGATAAGAAAAAAACAGGTGCACGCATAAGCACGAATACTGGTATAATGATGTTGTGAATGTGTGCACATATATATATATATACATACACCCACACACACACACATATATATATATATGTATACACATGCTTATACATATACCTATGCCTACACCCATACTTATTCCTACACACACACACATGCACGTATGCATGCATGCATGCATGCATGCATGCATGCATGCATACGTGCTTACATACATACACAAGTACGTACATGCATGTATACATATCTGCATTCATGCATGCAAACATACGTGCATACATACATATGTGTAGGTGCATACTCACATACGAACATACGTGCATACATTCGATGTGTCTTACTTACATACATATATGTATACTTACGTATATATATATATATATACATACATACATATGTAAACATATGACTACACATGTGTGTATATGTATATATATATATATGTATGTATGTGGAGGGGTCCTTTATGTACCATTTTCCTGTTAGCTGTATGATATGTGTTGTGCATGCCAACCCAACTTGCTAATCACATTCACAAATAACCTTTCGGCTTGTGTTATAGTCTGCATACTTCGGTGCCTGCTGAGGTGGCCCTTGGAGTCCCTGGCACAACCCGCGCCAACGGACCCCCCTGGACCCCGTCCCCAGAATTTAAATCGAGCAAAGTCTTTGATTGGGCCCGGGAATAAAATAATTCCATCAGATTAGATAGATCAAACTGCTTAAATCCT